TTGTGCCAAGCGGGGCAGTTTTGCTACAGGGGCAGAACTTATTGAAGAGGCAGATGCTCATACGACTGCCAAGCATTTTGAATTTCGGCACATTGCAGACACAGAGGGCGTGGAAGAGACGAGCTTTAAGGTCCTCTAGGGTTGCGGCACCCAAACGACCGACCATGTCATAGCCGTAGATGACAGAGACAAGATAGTCTCTAGTTGAGTCTGAGCATTGTTCACTGGAAGAAGAAGGAAAAAGAACGAGGAACTTGTAAGAAATCAGTGATAAAAAACCGGTGGTTCCCTTGGAAATAGGTTGACCCGCTAAGTGCTCGAAACGAATCATCGTTTGACTGCAGACGCAATCGGGCTGAGGATAATGTCTGGCCTGGTTGAACAGCTGAAAATTACACAGACAATTACACTTCCTCTTACAACGCTAACTGTTTGTCTCCATTGTAAATAGGAAAAGCCACTGGCATCGCTAATACAATATAATATGCTCATAATTTAACACTTTCGTTTAGTTAACCTTGTTCAGCTATGTGTATTATTAAACTGGAACTTGAAAGGCTGCCAACTAACTCTTTATACCAAACCACACCATCAGCTCAGTGTGCGTTGTGGATTTAGTGGCAAATCAGTTGACGGGGAGTCAGGCGGCGACGGCTCCTTCGTAACGCCTGGTCTTATGATAATCCTAGTGTTTGTGTCAAGGGGTCGTGGCCGTGTTGTGGCCCGCGTAGACGTGTTCATCAACCTTGACCGGCTTCGACGGTAACCTGATGGAAGAGAGTGAGTGACGTCGATGGCTCAGTGTACCCTCCTCACTATAAAGAATATGGTGGGCTTGAAGTTATTACAGTGCGCTAGAGGCAGTGGCTTGGAAGGTTGCTAACTGATGGACGATCTCGGACCACGCGACCTGCCTAATGTGTGTTTGTATAGGGTGGCTGACTGGCGGACTGGGAGTCAGGCTGCAATGGTTCCTTCTTTATACGGCCCATTCAGTCAAGATCTGAGTCAGGTGTGGTGACACGCTTAGGCACGGTTCTGGCCACAACAGCCATCTGCGTCCTCTCTCGTCTCCGTTCTTATTGACTCTCTCTTGACACTGGACCAGATTTGCGGTGGGGGGGGGGACAGAAAGAGAGGTAGATGCATTGCAATGCACCGTCTTTGCACAACCTTACCCTATTACATAGCGCAGCTGAACCTTTATCCCAACCATAACTCTATAGTCCCAGCTCCAACTCTAACCAACTCTCTTCTCCCTGTAAGATAGCGCGGTAATGTGTACTAAGCGCGGTTCCTTTTCCAATGTTCAGCCCTAACCGCTTAGCTGTAATGACTCAACTCCGCATGCAACACTAGAGCCCTCGCTTCTCGTGACTGTTAGCATCTGTGCGCGAGTGTCTGCCGACCCCAGACCCGTCTGGCCGATCAACTTCCTGAGGTTGAATCACACAGACCCTCACTGTGCCGACTGACGCACTCTCACACTTCGGACACCGCTCTGGCGGATACATGTGCATTCGGCTGACTGCCAACCTCCTTCAACCTATTCTCAGTTACCTCTGCACATAATATACTATTTTGTCTAACCTGGCGTCCCATTTCGTCTCTTTCCACACGGAACTTTACCTGAAGATGGCAGCGGCAAGGGTCTTCACTATTCACTTAAGGAATATGTATGCACCAAGCGTTTTAGTCTGTTGCGTCCTGCAATTGGTCAGTTTAAGGATGGAAAAACGCTCACTTGAGCTAAAACTGCGACCGTGTGTTCGCAGTTCAGCAACGTAAACTTTACATATACGACGACTACTAGTTACTTCCATTTCCAGGAGTCCAGCATGATGACAAAATAAAACAAACTTTTGTTAATGTGACGTACTACTAGGCTTTAGCAAATGCCAAAGGTAAGACCTAGGCGTCCTACTTCCCAGTGGTGGGGTTGATTAGGTAGAGCTTTCTTGTGAGGCCGCCTGAAAAAATTTCCCCCATCCAAGTTTCTTACAAAAGGCGTGGTAAAAGGGAAATAAAGGGAAGAAGGTGTAAACTACGGGCCATTTGAGTGTGGGAAGATATTAAAGAGGCTTATTATGTTTTACTAAAGCGAAAGCATAGGTGAATGAGTTGAGGAAGGGCAAGAAGGACCGAAGGGAATACCTGCTGACCAACAGAACCATAAGGGCAACTCCTTTCATCATAAGCCGGCCACACAAGAAAGCCTTACCATTGAATCTTTTCGGTAACAGTTCGATTTAGGTCACCAAACGGCATAATAAAACAACCGAATGTTTGCGCGCGGTAATTGAAATGGCTCAGTAGTGCCCAATTGGAAACAATCGTGGACTATATATCAGTCCTTTAGAATCTCCATTTAATATCACTGTTATCTCTAAATAATTCTAATCACTATAGAGAGGATATAGAGATGACGTAGAGTCTATTATTATGGTCATTTGGGCGCTATTGGGCCATTTTAATTATTACGCACTCAAGTCTTCCTGTTATTTTTAACTATCATGCACTCTATTTTTTTATTTAATATTTTCTCATCTGATATACCCCTCTGATTTAACCTTCATTACCATATGTCCCCTAAAATAGAAGGATGGCGATTTCGCGTGCTGTTTCATGACCTAAACTGAACCTCTACCACTTTTC